AAATATTGCTGCCACAAGATTCTCTGCTTGCTGGCTCCTATATGTTTGCAACGGTAATTCTAGGCAGAAAATTTGGCCTGAAGCAAAAGCAGAATATACTTCATAAATTCATGAATATATACTGCTCAAGTACCAACGTAGGCACCACAAATATACAGGGGAAACCCTATGTTGATTATTTCACACTTCTTTGAACGATAATATAGGTAAGAAAAGAAAGAAACCGATAAATAAGGGTGACAACAGTACTTTGGGGGTTCCGGTGGCATGGAAGCATGTACACAACAGAAGATGAGAATGTGAACTGTGGAAACTTATAATAAGCAAGTGGTTATGAGGTTGTTCATAGTCAAACCCTGGCCTCCACTAGTACTAATGAAGTTGATTTTCCTAGGTTGATATAAAGCAGAAGCCAAAGATGTGCCCCTAAAATAGCAGAAGGTAACTAGCATCTACTCGGAATCTAACCTCACATAGCCTTCAGATTATTTTCGTTTCAATATCAGACTTTAGCATTGCTTCTGCAGAGATCCTTCATAACAAGAGACTACCCTTTGTGCAACAATTCAAATGGGAAGATCTGCACCTGGTAATTGACTGGCGTAAGCCTATCTCAAGAGTAGTTTTCTATCAGCAACAGTGAATTCCCTGGATAAGTTTGCTCTTTCAGCCAGAGCTTCAGTTTGTCAATCCAGATATGAAATCATGAATCAAACTTTTGACAGAAAGTATTGACTCCTCACCTGTACATCAAAATTTTGATACATAAACGTGTCATACCTGATAGTTCTTTCACCCGTTAGATCTCCTGGACACCATGTACGAGATGGGTATGGATGGCAATCAGGATATAACTGCACTGTCAGAGAAAAAAATACTAAATGAAAATGGAACTCTAAGAGACAAAAAGGGAAATGCCAAAAACCCACTGTCTACTCTGGTTCATGAAATGCTACAGATAATGCTATAAAAAGATAGAATGGTCACACAATTTCATAAAAAGCAGAGTTTGGCCGCTCCTCGTTTCTCCGGGCTTGAGACCGGCTATGCAACATGAAGCGTACCATCATCTTAGCATAGGCGGAGTTACACCCCCACTCCACACACCCCCATATAGACATCGGACCCCACTAAACCAAAAACCAAAACCCAAACAACAAGACACGCACACGCACAAGCACGATCTCTAAAACCAAGACCCAAGATACAAACCCAAACGACAAACACCAAATAAGTGGTAACGAAACCCAAATACCCTCTTTTAGAATTCTTTTTCTGAGTGAACAACGAAGCAACAGACTACTCAACCCTCAAAACAAACTTTTTTTGTGTGAGTTTTTTTTCCAGTACTACGAAAGGCAAAGAAACAATATTTTTTCGTGATTTTCATTTTCTTTTACAACAAAAGGCAGTAAAACAAGCAAGCATATTTTTCGAATTTTTTTCATCTGCTAACAAAAGAAAACATAGCAAAAAATAACTCTTCTTTTTGTTTCATGCGGTTTCATTTTCCATTTCTCCAAAAAACAGTAAAATATGGAGATATTTTTTGTGTTTTCTTTCTGTGCTTCAAAAGACAACAAAGAGAGCAAACAAACGGAAGCCTCTCGCTATCTTTTCTTTCTCCGCGGTGATTTATGAACCCCCACTGCCGGCCTAAATATATGGAGTAACTCTCAGAAAATGTATGCGTGGAGTATCAATGGTTACTGTTTAAAATGATGAGAAAGATATATGTATGTATGTGCAGATTGGTAATTGCTTTTTCTATAACAGTTGATTGGCAATTCCTGTTATTTAACCTAGTCTAGAAAGTGAAAAAGACAAGGTGCAGATGAACGTACGTACCTTGCTAGCTATGCTCAATCCATATCTAGTAAGCTGGGGGAAAAAAGGAAAAGGAGATCCATGAGATACACGGCTAGCTGCCCGTGGAGATCAGCACTAATGAATAAAAAAATATACACTTAGTTACCTCAAATCCCAGAGAACTATAGGCATTGATATGATATTAAGTACTCCCTCCGTCCCAAAATAAGTGTCTTGAGCTTAGTACAAATTTGTACTAGAGCTAGTACAAAGTTGAGACACTTATTTTAAGACGGAGGGAGTACGAGATGGTTGGGAAGAAAATAAAGTGCGTGCTCTGCCGTTTCCTTGGCCTTCTTGCGGTCCGCATAAGGGCCATATAAACTGATCGTGACTTCCTGAAGCAAAGGGAGGTTCCCTAGACTACCAAAGTCGAAGTCAAAGCTGATGCCATCATCATTGGAGTGTGCTACGAGGCTGAACTTGAGAAATTCAAGGACCGGCATATCTCCCTCTTGAAAAGAGCAAGTCGTTGCTTTTGTCTTGAAGGCCCTCGGCTTGGGGAAGGCACCCACACCGCCCATGGTATCATGGCGGAGAGCTAGCCGCGTGGACAGCTCGAGGGAAACAAGCTCTCGGAAACTTCCAAAGACCTCCAGATCTGGACTGAATACAAGCAGTTTCAAATGGGAGAGGTTTGGAAGAAGCTGGGGATTGATCCTTGCGACCAACCCAGGTTCTCGGTTCTCCATGCATAGAACACGGAGTTGCGGAGAGAGGGCATACTGTTCCCAGGGGTTCTCTTCATTAGTGGAATCCCTCCTCCCAAAAACATTATGAATGTCTATGACTTGGATCTTGCTCAGTTTGGCTACAGACTTGGCCCAACTATTCATTGCACTATCATCATCTAGATCAAAACTTCTGAAAATGCGGAGCTTCCTCAACTCTGTTAACTTGCCCAGCTTTGTCACAAAGTTGGAGTCCTTACCAACTTCTCCTAGGCATAGCTCTTGCAGAGAAGTCAAATTCCCGATCCAGCAAGGCACTTCAATGTCTGTTTCGCAGATGTTCAAGCACTTCAGTTGACTTAGTCGACCAATACTCTCTGGAAGTTCACTTATGCTATTTTTATCCAAGTCCAATACCAGCAAGAACTTTAGATGTCCTATTTCCTTTGGGAGCTCACTGATACCAATGCTCCCTAGTTTGAGGTGCCTCAAGTGAACTAACTTTCCAACATGCTCAAGATAATTAGGACTGGGCAAATACCGGGGGCCTTCCAAAGCCAGGACACGCAAAGCTTCAAAGCATGAAAGTGATGGCAACATCGCAGCATTGCACATGGCATTAAGTGACCTTGCTTGTATTGTTGATGTGCTAGCCAGAGGTTTGACTATATGTTGAACAGCTAGCCTACGGGCATTGCAATGTGAAATTGTATATTGCTCATCACTGTCCAATACAGCAATAAAGTTTTCTTCCTTTGACAATAGACATATCATATCAAGCATCATGTCATGGACACGACACCCAGTTATGATGCCATTATATTTATCTCCCTCTACCGGCATTATCATGCTTTTGTTCACCAGTTCGTTGAAGTACCTCTCACCAATCTCAAATAGTCCTACCCCTGGTTCCTCATGGATAAAACCTTCGCTAACCCACTTCCATATCAAACTATCTTTTTTAATCAGGTGATCTTCGGGATATATGCTCAGATACAATAAGCAAGTCTTTAGGTGTCAAGGTAGATCATAATAGCTAAATAAAAGTATTTTCCTTGTGTCATCTACCACTTCGTTTTTTTCATGCCCAAAACCGATTGAGGTGTATACCTTAGACCAAAACTCCACTGGTTTACCGAGAAGCAAACTAGCCATTGTGATTATAGCCAATGGCACACCCCCGCATTTATGTAAAATTTTATCGTGTACCTCTGTCGACAGATGATTAGGCTGTTTTATTTTACCACCAACTAATCTTCTATGAAATAAATCCTTACATAAATCAGGAGAAAGTGGTTGTAGCATATATACTTCACCGGTCGTTGTGGCTACTTTGTGTATACGAGTAGTTGTGATTATCCTCCTTCCACAACTATTACACATCAAAGCAGACTTGACTAGCTCCCATGTTTTTTTATCCCATAGGTCATCAATGATGATTAAGTACCTATAATCACCATCAATAACGCAGGATATATCATTTTTTTGCGGGAAATATATATCATAGATTAGTGAAACTATTTTACAGCGTACCTAAGTAAGTAAAATATCTTTAAAAAGAGGATGCATGAATGTCAGCCTCCTTAAGGAAATTAGAGTTGCATTATTAAGCAAGAAAATGGAGGGTAGAGAGAGACATGCATAAACCACCAACAGATCTGGACTATATTTCATCGTCCTGGACTATATTTTTATCAACAAAATTTCCCAATCTGGATATTTTCATCCATTAGATATATTTTTAAATTGACATCTAGTGTAAGAAGTTCTAGAATATATGAGGGTGGCGAGCATTCTGTGAAAGTCCCAACCAAAATCATAGCAAAGAAGTAGCAAAACTTGATAATATACATTATGCCCTGAAAAAAAGAAGTCCTATGCAAAATATACAAGAATAATGCCAACCAAACCCTCTATGTATGATGTTGCAGCTGATTGACGCTAATTTTTTCCATTATTAATTGACGTATGTGAAACTATATAATAGGTGTGTACCTCTTTTTCTCGAGTACTATACGGAGTTCGTCGATCAGCTTCCTTTCATCCCATGATGATGTGCTAGAATCCTGATGCTTTTGCTTCTCAATTTCAAAGAGAATGTCGCTGAGAAGTTTCTTCATGCTAGGGTTCCGTCCTACCGGAACAAAAGCACTGCAATCGAACTGCACTTTGAGATTATCATATACTGCTTTGGCAAGAGTTGTCTTGCCAAGGCCTCCGAATCCGAAAACAGAGACTGTCTTCAGTTGCTCAGACACCGCACCATCCCTGATGCTCAGCATCTTGGTTAGCTCACTCAATGAATCATCAATGCCAACAAGCTCTTTCCTGTCCTTGTACAGAGCCGATAGCCGAGGGTCAACCATGGTTGGGCAAGCTGGATTAGGAACCACATCATTGACCTTGTACCGGTCAGGCCGGGCAGCCACCTTCTCGACACGGTCTTTAATCTCTTTAATATCATCGCCGATGGCATGGCGTGCGGCGTGCCATGAACTCGGTGAACAAGCCGCACATCTTCTTCTTGAGCCGTTTGAGCTTGCGTGGCTTGACAGCAGGTTTGGTGCCCATGACCTGCACCAGGTACTTATCGATGATATCCTCTATTTTGTATGAAAGGTCTCTGACCTCGTTTGCCCAGAGCTTGACTTGCTCATCGAGCTTGTCCCGTGGCACATCCCCAACCTTGCGGAGGGCAACTTGCATGCTCTCCAGCTCTCTATTGAGATCTTTGACGTCTTCCTTGACTCTAGTCTGCAGTTTGTACTCCGCCTTGAGGAGTTCGCCGAGCTTGAGGATCAGGCTCCCCATGGCACCTGTTGCGTGGTCCATAGCTCGCTCTTAGCAGCTGGGTTTTTGGGTGTAAAAATGCTTCCTTTTCCTTTTGCGATGACGTACGGGATGAGTGGCTAGCTAGACTCTTTATAGATAGGAATGGGACAGTGCAGACCACATGTGGATAAGCCAGCTACCCTAAATTTATGTGGATGCTGTGTAAGTGGCGACATTCCAAGACTATTGAACACGAAGTTTCTATATTTAAGAATATTTCATCCTGGGAAAATTCATGGTAGTTGCTGGAATTTGTGTGGACGCTATTTAAGGGCCTCTTTTGCTCAAAGGGCCTATTTTAACATCTAAATCACTGCCATATAACTTGACATATAACTTGTATTCATTTCTGAGGTATGTTCGCTGAGGGAACATCCAAACATTCAGTACAGACAACAAAGGCAGACCAAGTATTCAACGTCAATGTTCAACTTTCAGTACATATGACTACGCCACGTAATGGTCCTTCAACTTCTGAAGTATATTCGCTCAGGCAACATCTAAAGCGATATATACGGGGCCAATGATGGTGCTGAAGATGAGGTTACCGCAGGAACACAGAGACACGCTACCAAAAAGTGACACGCCAATTCGCATCCACGGGACCACAAGCGGACACCGATGGCTTCCGTAAACTTTACTCCTTTGGTTAGGAAATTCAAAAAAAGTACCCTTCTAGTTTTTCGGAAATTCAGAATTGTGCACCATTTGCTTCAACTTCTTGAGTATACACCTGGGAGAGATCAGCAAAATCAGCAGTCGTTAGGCTAGTATTAGCCATTCATCAGCGGCTAGTATCAACTTTCAACTGACTACGCCTTTCCTTAGAGCAACAATGACGATCTCAGCAATGGAACCAAAGACAAGGTTACCGCGGGTACACAATGAGAGCACGGCGATGGGATAGTCACGGCCCAAAAGCAACAGAGGAGAGCACAGTGACTAAACACCAACGCGCCTCCACAAGCGGGCACCGATGTCTGCTATACAGTTTACCCCTTGGCCCAAGATTTGAAATTCAGAAAGTGTATCTTTCTCTTTGCTTGGAAGTTTAGAAAGTCTACACCAAGCTCCGCAGCGCCTCCTATCAGCTATCTTTTGGAATGAAATTACCTGATTCGCAGCCACCTTTTGATTTCGTTTTTGGAGAGCTGGCGTGTACGTACGTAAGTTCTAGCTACTCAATAATGCAGCATACACTATGAACAGATATCTCCACACCTGTGTACTTAGATAACGTCTGCTGAAGACTGATGTTGTGGTGTATTAACGTCACCGTCTAATTTCTCACTCGCCGGTCACCGGAAGGTTAACCCACCTTAACTTTGTTTGTCTGTGGTAGGTAGGAGCCTAGGATCCTCTGATCTCTATTTTTGACTTTACGGTGCTGCATGTGTGCTAAGTGCTTGTCAATGGGTCCATGCATCTCAAAATGTCTTCCATATGTAAGGAATCTTTTTTTGTATAGTTGCTTGCAACTTGAAGATACTGACGTTTCACCAAGTTACAAATTTGATGGCTTGTGCAGACCAAGGTTCGAATCAGGACTTCTTTGGCCAGCTGCAAGAAAATTCAACCATCTGAATCCGAAAGTATAGTAGATAGAAAAAAGAAAAAAAATCCTGGCACATTAATTTCGACGTTCGTAAGCACCAGTCTACGGTCCACCTGCTAGTTAGACTCTAACTTTCATATGCATCGCTGTTTTCTAACATTTCTACATCGTTGTCCGTGTTGTTTTCTTATGGTGCATGTGTTCGCCTTATGGT